GGAGGGCTGCCGGGGGCATCTCGCAGGCTTCCCAGCAGGAGGAGCCCGGTTCTCTACGAAACAAGCAGCAGCAGGCGGGAGGCCGCTCGGTCCTAATCGCAGGAAGGGCGGGGAGGGGAATGGGAACTCTTTTGTTTATGTTGCCCTTAGCAGCCCTTGGAGTGATTGGGGCGCATGGCGGCGGCGGCAGCAGAAAGGAACGATCTCTTCGCGTATCTGACACGGCTCTCTTGAAGACAGAAACCGGGTCTGTGAGAGGTTTTGCCTGAAGCCTTAGCTGCGGGTTCAAGTCAAGAGCTTGGCTAAAGGCAAGCATGACGGAGCTGCACGAAGCGGTGGCTTTGGGTAACTACGACTTAGTGGAAGAAATCCTCCAGAGGGAGCTCGCGGACCCAAATTGCAAAGATGCGGACTGGAGCGACCGGACGCCCCTCCACTGGGCGGCAGCAAACGGTAAGCCGTCGCTTGGGGGGACGCGCATGCGCCAGGAGGACACTGGGGGATGGGCGTAATGTGAGTGTCCGTGGAGGCAAGTTAGCTGGCATATATCCCCGGCCCTTCTCCGCGTCCTGATCGGAGCAAGCACGCAAGCCGCTCCGATCGGTGAGCAAACATAGATATTTCCCCGGTGTAACAGTAATCAAAAGCGGGGTAAAAGTTCGACAAAAACAGAGGTCGAGACGGTCAGGAGTTTTCCTCTTTGCTCTGCATCAGTAAAGAAACTGATTTGACGGGCGCGATTGCACGTGCAATCCAACGTTGCACGAGGCCGAAGAATGAGAGCGGGAGCTATCTTTTCACATCCATTTTCACCACTGATCTTTTATGAGTTTTCCCTGGATTCAAATGAGGTGCCTTAGAAGTGCCCTCCCACGGCAGCGAGAAGTGCATCCTATATTTGGGTTTGAGAGGACATGGTTTGCAGCAGAACATGCATGGAAGAAGTGGCTGGATGTGCTCCAAAGCGTTAGCCAGATATTAAAAATACAGATTTTGGGGGAAGGAAGGTAGCCAGTAGGAAATGTCACTATGCTATCTCCTTCCATTCCCCTGCTAAGAATTTACCTATTTTACACACCTATTTAAATTCACAAGAAGAAAATATTCATCACAAATAACTTGGATATTTATTAGTAAATAATACCTCCATTGTGTTTTCATGAAACCAATAAGTATAAAGATTTCAAAAGAGGGAATATGTCAGCTCTCTGGAAGGACAACCCCCCCCCTCCCCAGATCCTGGGATGTGGATGTAGTTCCTTCAAAGAAGCTGTATTAATAGGTGTTGGAAGAAATGGCCGTCTGAGTTCAGTTCCAAGTGGAAAAAAGACACTGGAAACATGGAGATTGCTTGGAAGGATGGTTTAATAGTGAAGCAGAACCAATAGTGTGATTCTGGGCCGCAAGAGGAGAGAGATATATACCTATACCCTCTCTTTCTCTTGTGAAAGAAATGCATTCTGGTTGTCAAACTCCCATGGGACCATGCAGGGGTAACTTTGAAGGTTGTCTTGAGTCCCAGGCCTGGTTGAATCTTGCTGGATGATGCAATCTTCCCAGGTGCCATGTGGTGAGAGGGCTAATCCTATTATGTCCTGAGGGTGAAAGTCTTTTGTGTTGCAGATAAGCTGGCCCAGCTTTTTGTCTTGTAGATAGATGGCCCAGTCTTTCTGGGGCTATTAACAAAGGTGGGGGTTGCTTTCCAAGAGTATGTATCTCCTTTTCTCATCCAGGAAGGTATAATATTCTGCCTTTTTAATATTTCGTAGGATATTTCATTCTTCCAGGAGGGTGCCAACTTTCTACATATAGAAACAGGTGTGTTTTCCTGCAGATTATTTTGTAATGTTTTTATTTATTTTGATCAATTTTTATTAGTTACATTTCTTAGTGCTTAATAAACATTGTGTTGTCTAGGTATTTAATTTGCTTAACAATACATATTACATTCTTAATCTCCACCCTTTTTTCCTTTTTTAAATTATTATTATTTTTACTAAATATAAAAAGAACAAAAATTTCAATGTCTATATAAAGAGTGTTGTCTGGGTATAGTTATTTTGAACAATAATCATCCTCATAATAACAATAGCATCCATAACACTACCAATCATATAGTAACAATGATGTCTCATCATAATATTGATAATAATCCCTTTATTATCTTTTTCTGGTATACCCAACAGAAATATTTCCAGTTTTAAGTCTATGTGTTCTTTTATCATTTTTTCTATTCAAGTGTGTATTTTTGTCCAGTATTTTTTTGCCTTTGCCTCCCCTCCTTTTTTCCAACCACTGATAAAATAGTTCCCATGTTTGATAATATTATGTATCTTCTTTCTGTTTCATTTTTAATGTCAGTCTATCCATTTCTGCACACTCTAATATTTTAATTATTTCTTCATCTCACGGTGTTTCTTCATTTTTCCAGCATTGCGCAAATACAAAGCTTTATTATTAGAAACGACTCTGCAACTAACAACAACAACAAAATTACTAGGGAACAGAGTGTGTTTCCCTGCAGATTACTTTTTAATGTTTTTAATGGTCTTCATAATGGTTGCCCTGTGTTCATTTAACTTTGTGTACTATTCAGATAAGTATATAAATAAATTAGACCATGTGAATCATGAATCTCCAATATGTTGTGGTTGCAAGGTAATGCAAAGTGACATGTAACTTTATACCATGTATTTGTATGAATAGACATTTTTTTAAAAATGGAGTACCTGATATCCACCCAGATAATTCAGAAAAATTTCAGCCAATGTGAAAAATGCAATGTTTGTATTTGCAACAGGCCACACAAAGATAGTAAAGCTGCTTGTGGAACACGGTGCTCGCCTGGTTTTGCGAACGGAGGCAGGTTGGACTCCAGTTCATTTTGCTGCAGAATCAGGGCAACTGGGCGTGTTGAGAACACTGCACTCCTTGAACGCACCGATGGACGCCCCGGATCTCTATGGAGATGTCCCAAGAAGAATTGCAGAAATCTATGGGCACAAAGCCTGCGTCAAATTCTTAGAAATGTAAGCATGAAAAAGAATTAAGGCAGGTGACCTTGTACTATTCTTAATGCTAATTTGTGATCGAGCAAAGGGGCTTACTACAGTCCAGGGGAAAATTTTCTCAGTGCCATGGTAACTCGGAACAGTCATTAACCGAATGGTTGGAAGTGGAGGAGTACTTTTATGCCTTTTTATGTCATTTTCTTCCCACCCACCAAGCCCCCTCTTCCTCATGTTTGACACCTTCCTGTTTGATGCATCCTCTCCACATACTCTGTTCTACAAGGAACTCTGCACAGCTGTAAAATCCACAACTCTGTTCAAGGAAGTAAAATATAATCCAGTTGGATTGAGGATAGTAATCGTACTAGCAAATCTTTATAAGAGTGACTTGCCTCCTGCTTTCTCTTTGCCTAAATAAGCATTTGGTGAAGTTGCCTTCATTGGTGTTAAAACAATTTTTCTCTGTAAAGCTGAACTGCAGTCATACTAAAGCATCTATATGTATTTAAGGAATTTCCCCATATTTTGTTGCATTAATATCCTGTAGGCCCATGATGGCAAACCTATGGCATGCGTGCCACAGGTGGCACACACAGCCATTTGTGTCGGCACACGAGCCACAGACAAAGGTACCTCACTGCACGTGTACGTGCTTCACAGCTGATTTTCTGCTGGTTTGAGGCCTTTTTCAGCCTTCCAGGGGGCTTGAAAAAAGCCTCTGCAGGCCAAATAGGCCTGTTTCGTCACTTCCTGGAATTTCACGTGCATGCGCAGGGGGCATGAAGGGGCACGCATTGCCTTCTGGGTGCTTGCATGCGAGCACCAGCGCACACACAGTTTTTGGCACAGGAGACCAAAAAGGTTAGCCACCACTGCTCTAGACTTTGAGAAAGCAAAGCCAAAGCTGTTTTGCTTTTAATTAGTTTTAGAACTGAGGTCAACGTGGATGCAATATCCCCCAGCTTTCCAAATGGAAATGCTCCCTTTCAAGTCGTGATCCGCCATTGATAGCAGGTTATCCAAAACCGTTTCCTCTTTCCTTTTGATCTAGAGCTGAAATGGAATACAGGGCATATTGCCAGACGGCAAAATCAAAGGGAATCCAACTGGATGAGAAGGATGAAGCTTGGGAGCTTAAGAAGGAAGAACTTTTGAAAAGTAAACCCTTCTCTCCAAAGAAACATACGAAGCACAAAACGCACGGAAAGGGTGGAGTGAAAGTTCCTTCTAGAAAACAGTGAGAAGAATGGTATATTACAGATAAGGTAGAACAGAGGGTCACAGCTACCTTAACTTTGTAGTCATTGCAACTCATCTATTTCATTTACTATTTTTCTTATTTTGAACTA